AAAATATTTACTTTAAACCTTTGATGGAAATGTTGGTAACATTTAATACAATAATCTACTAATCTGTATATAATAATATGTAATGTAAAATAAGTATAATTTATAACGTGCTGTTAAATTAAATTAATTGTGCTCAACACGGACCAATAATACATTTAATTAATATTTTTAATTACAATTCAGTATGAATAATGTGGTTAATGGGATCGTTCTGATGATCCTTGTTTAAATTGTACTCAATAAAGCATGTAATTAAAAAGTTTAATTAATTATAAATCTTGTTAATTAAATCAATAAGTAGGAAGTATAAAGTTAACATATTGGTTTATTAATATTTAGTACACTTGACTTTCATATTAATTTCCGTTTATTTAGAATATTCTGTCAGAATATTGTATTATTTAACAATATTTAAATAATTTTACACTTATTTCCATTTTATGTAACGATGGTTATTTTATAATTAAATGACATGTGATAATTAAAATTAGATTAAGCTAAATATTTTATGATTTATAATGAATGCAGTGAGCACATTTGAATATTGATTCTTTACATGTTTTAATTGTTTGATTTATTACATGATAATTTACCTCAAATTCTCTAAACATGTAACATATATTTAAGCATTAATATGATAGATATGAATAAAACCAATGATATACTGGCGCTATAGTGAACAGTACTTTATTTTATACGATTAGATAACGCGTGGATTAAATGCAAAGCCGTCACTATTTTCAGACACTCTATGCCTTCAGTTCATGTGTTATGGCTATGAATGACAGTCAGTATTGGAAGTGAAAAAAGAAATGAAAGAAGAAAAACGTTTTCATTTTACATATTTGTAAAGATTTAACTAATAATCAGATATAATATGTGGTAATTCTGATGAGTAATGAAGTTATATAGCGTTTGAAATGTATGTTTCGGTTTTGACACAACTATAATGCATTGAATAATTGAAAAATACTTTAAATCGTATGGATTTATCACTAAAAAGTGGTGTTTTAAATATTTTTAAATATTTATAGGAATGACATCATTGTGTTTTGAACAACTTTAAAGTGATGTATGTCAAGTGTGTACAAAATAATAACATTTATTACCTAGTTTTCATCATTATATTATTTTATTCAGTAAACAAAAGTGCCCAAGGTATGGATTCAATTGTATTGCTCTTAATCATTTAATATAATTTATTACACAATATAATTGTGTTTTGATTTATATTTTTAGATATAATATATAAATTATAAAATTTTAGTGTTGTTGCAAAATAAGTAAATAGCCTTGTGTGAACCTGTGTGAAATAAGTTATTTCAAATAACCAAATTTTTATTTACAATATTTATAACCTCAATGTTTTTATTGGAAAAATATATCAAATTTATTTACCTAGTTTTATTTGCCTAGACATATTGTTTAAAGTATTTAATTTCATATTACATCTTACTTATTAGTTTTGTTAATGAAAACACAATAATTTTCATTATCAAGGTATTGATGGCATTGTGTTTATTAAACAAACAAAACAATTATAATAAAACTCTTGGGAAAAATGTAATAAAAGTTTATTTATTTCTGATATAAATGTTTTTTAATCGTGAAAAATGTTAAACATTAGTTCAATAGTTTGTTATCATAACTTGTTTTTAGTTAATTACATAAATTATTATGTATTTAGTATTTTATGGTCAAAGAAAAGTTTCCACAAATTTTCTACTTATCTGAAAGCAAATTCTCGAAATATGACAATTGTTTTAAGCTTATAATCATATGACAACATATTATTAATATATTGAATCCTATGTTACCAACAAAACGTAAAGCTTGTGATTTGCTTTTATCGTAATTCAATAATTAAATATAAACCAAACAATGCCTACGTTTTGTTAACTATAGTTTTGTATCTATTTTACAAAACAATATACATTTCCCTCTAATTGTTGTCGTAATTATTTTAGTCATTTCAACGGAATTTTTATTATCCTATTTAATACAAATAAAGCTTTTGATCTCATTTTATCATAAATAGTTTACATTCACTTTAAATCATAATTAATAGTTAAATTGAGCATTAACATAAATCTATTTATAATTAGCTTTAATTAAATGTCCTATGCAATTTATAATTTATTAATTAAACAATTTTTTCAATTATTATATATAATTATTATAATGTTTTATAAATGAAAAGATCAAATAACGGAATAATTGACCTGTGATTTCCATAACAAGCAATCGATGTTAATATGAACTGATCGTAGAGTACATCACCTCTAAAACTGGTCTCAAAAACACCAATTTCTCAATAAAGAAAGCATTAGACAAAGAGTTGAGTGAAACCATGAGTTTAGACTTTCTTTATGGAGAAATTGGTGTCTTTATGTCATTATAGAGATAATATGCTTGTTAATCATGTATAACTATGATCAAGTTCATATTAACAGCAATTGCTGGTTAAGGCAATGACTATCGATTGGCACCAAGAAAATCGTGGCACAACTTACAGGTCAATTATCCCGTTATTTGATTGTTCGCTGTCTAAAGTGTTTAATATTTATATTTTAATTGTAGAAATTAGTTTTAAATTTAATTTCAAAACCAATTGATTAAGTAAGGAAACAAATTATCATATTAATACTAGTTATATGAAGTTATTTAAAGTACTGTATATTTTTTGTATAAATATTAAATATCTTTCCTATAGAGTCTAGACATTTTTTCAAGAATAAATCAGAATTTACATCAACTGCTTATTAATTTATAAATAATTAATTGTATTATGTAAATATAAAATTTGTGGCCTCATAATTTGTTTCATGTATTTGACAATAAGTATTGTATACAATACAATACATTGTAAATTATATTTTTCATTGTCATACAATTATTTTTGTGACAATTTATTGAGCAATATGCAATAAATTTACATATTTCTGACTTATTACATATTTGTAAGAAATAATTACAACTTTCTAACAAGGATCATTGATACTTTATTTATGCTTATAAAGTTTTAGTTTATAATAATTTAACAAGATTGTATTTATAATAACTTGATTAATATTGTAAAATACATTTTAAATATAATTTTATTCTAAATAAGATCATAACTACAATCTATTTATCCATCTCCATATAAATATATCCAATAATATTATATAGATAATGCATAAATATAATGCAAATATATTATATTTATAATATGAAATAGCTAATACATGATAAAGTATACAGAATATACTGCATGGTTTAATTGTGCGAACAATATTCAGTTTGCTAATAACATGATTAGTGCTCTTATTAGTGTAAATATGAACTAATTTGCACTTTTTAACCTTCAAATTAGTTTTGTTTGATGTGAAAACATTAATTAAATGCAATTACTTTCTGTCAGATTCGCTGTAATCTCTGCGATGAAGAGCACAGAATATCTCATATACTGTATGTCATTATGGGATTGGGATAACCATTAGATTAATAGACAATGTATTCTCTCTTATCAAAACAATTGCTAGTATTTTAATGAAATCCGTGATTTAAGTTACAATGTTTTATTCTTATCAATAAATTGAATTTTAATAAAATTCTACCATTATAAAATTGACCAATGTTACATTTATAAACTATAGNGAAATCCGTGATTTAAGTTACAATGTTTTATTCTTATCAATAAATTGAATTTTAATAAAATTCTACCATTATAAAATTGACCAATGTTACATTTATAAACTATAGCTGTTGTAAAGCCTGACCGCCCCATCTCTAACCATTGCCAGTGGGGTTGAAGTGTTATTATTGTGCATAACGTCATTGTCTCACAAGTATTTTAAATTACAGATAATACTCATTGTACTGATTGTAGGCAATGGATAGTCAAACGTGGAGTTGTTATCGCAAACGCTTATGTGATTACATAAACTGTTTGTAACATTTAATATAATTGTTTGATCCAAAATACTCTCTAATATAATACTTCAACTCAAAAATTCCACATTTTATTAATATTTTCAAAACAAAATATCGATTTTTGTATTTTAATAACTTTTATCTAAAATATAAATGTATATCATTTTATGTTATGTAATGAACGTTATTCTCACGACAATTGCACAACAAATGAAAATTAATTTATTAATTAAATTGAATTTCTGATCTAATGACTAAAAAATTTCCATTCAATGCATTGTAATTAAATAAAATTAAGGAAAATGAGTCTCAGATTTTGAGCTTTGTTATTTTTATTCTTTATTAATAAGTTACTGGCAACAAGTGATACACCAACATTATTATAAGTACTTTACGTACTCCATGTCTAATAATAGTGGAAAGAGAGAGGTAGAGAATTGTGATATATAATAATCAGAGCATTGCATTAAACTATAGCAACTATTTTTAGTGGTTAATAGTATTTTCCCCAAACTCTGTATGTGAACCAATCATATATTGGGGGCCAGTTTACCGAAAGTTTATTTTACCTGTATTTAACTATTATAGGCGTTTGTAACTATTTTTATTGTTTCATAAATTTGACTACATTTTAATGTAAAAATTAATAGTTTTGGTTTCAAGATTTTATTCAAATTATCAAAATTACCAAAAGTATCGGTATTGTGTTGTTGATCGTCACAAATACGACACAGTACATCAAAAATTCTGTATTAATTTAGTTAATTTTATGTGAATCAACTGAATAGACACTATACTTAGTGTATTAACCTGCAATGTAATTCTCGGATGATAATTTATTATAAACAGGATAAATAATTCTAGTACAAATTAATATTTAATACATTGGGTATAATTAAAACCATGATAATTTTATTTTTAAATGATAGTACAGCGTGTATTTATCATAATAAATATGCTTAAAATTTTTTAATTAGTCTTAATACAAGTAAAATTGTTAAATAAAATTCAAAAAACAAAATTCAAATGCAATTAATGAGAAAACCATTGTTTTTACGAAAGATGTCTGCGAAGAGTGGAATCGCATGTGTCTTAAAGCAGAGTCGGCACAAATGGATGCATTCAAATGTATCGCTCCGTCGGTCTTCTACTACGATACGAACCATTGGGGTTGGGATGAGGCGCGACAGATGTGCTCTCAGAAATTTGACGCCATATATGAGGCAGACTTAATGCAATTGACCGACGCGTCCAAGAGTGCCGCTCAGTCCATGATGGATCATCTCTTTCAAAAGGGACTCATCGCATGTATGAACATATTTTAGTCAAACCATTTTATCAATAACTTTCTGACAAAATTGTAATACAAAATGTGATCATTTTATGACAATACGAAACAGCGGGAGAGAGCAAATACGCCACAAGCGGTGTGTGTTGTATGAGAAAACTGGCCAATAATAATTACGGGTCATTGTGTCAATGGTTGCCATCAGGCGAACCCATTGACGGCCTAACTTCTTCGGGTCAATGCACTATACATACCGTTAAATATGACACCCAAACCAAAGTCTTCAGTAACGACGAGTATAATATAAATGCAATTTTCATATGCTTTACGAGTAAATTAAATAATTTTTGTCGTTTGTTCAACAAAATAGTGGGTTTCAAAAAGTAGAAGATAAACCATTTGACGGCCATTTATGCGCTTTTACTGCACCAAAGGTTTGTAGGTAAGTAAAAATCATGATGATTGTTTTCTCATTTAGTAAATGGTAGTAACAATTGAATGTATAAATATAGGGCAACGCAACCGCCACCGCCATCGCCCACATCATTCCCAAGCGATACGACGACCGCCACATCGAGTGACCCGTCAGTCATTCCGACCCACTCTCCGGACGAAGTGAAGAAAGGTTTGGACGAATTGGATGAACGGCTCAAACATTTGGATCTAAACGTAGATCAGTTGCTCGACTGCTCCGAGAAGTTGACCGATATCTTAAAAGGCGGTTCACTCGTAACGGACGCGTCGTTAAATCAGACGTTGAATATAATCGACACTTTGCAGCAAAGGGTACCCAAAAAGACTAAAGACCCCAAACATCTGCGGACATTCACCGAACACGTGGTTCAGAGTTGCAGCGATGTGTTGGAGAGCGAACGGGCGTGGGATAAGATTGACCATGATCAGGTCAAAGCTAATTTCAGCTCAAATATACTGCATTTCATGCAAAGGAGTTCATTCGCGTTGGGCTGTCGGGAGCCGTCCAACACCACTAACTCCTC